GTATTAAATATTATTATATTAATAATATTCTTAAGTTCAATTGTTCAAGTAATCAAGTATTTCTATTATTTATTTATGATTTTTTTTATTTCTTTGCAGCCCATTGGTGGAGCCAACATGGGCATAGTTCTCCAAATTTACAAATAAGGCCATAAGGGTAATTTGTATAATTTTATAAATAATACATGAACCATATATATTATATTTTAATTAGTTCACTTTCATTTTATTTTGTTAGGTTCATACAAAGAAAAAGAACAGGCTTGATTCAAAGAAGCTCAATGACCTTGTCTATATCAAGTACAATTGATTCTTGAAGGACAGATTTGCTAAAAGAGATAATAGAGACCCCATCAGATCAAAAAATATGGACAATGCTATGAAGTGGTTGGTTGATAATGATGAGGTTGAGGGGCATGAAGGATTGACATGGGACATGGTCATGGATGCTTCAGGGACATCAGCTGACCCTCCTAGGGCCACTAGAGCTTCTGCACAGAGAACAAGGGTGGAGGAAGAAGAGGCAGATTCACAAGAGACGGAGGAAGACGAGTCGCAAAATGTCGAGGAGGGTGACGACTCCATCGATTCCGATGAGTAAGATGCCAATGCAGTTGAACCAAGATTTTCTGATGATGAATGAATGTTGATTGTTGAATAATTATTAAACGTTGTTACTTTGAAGTTTGAACTTTGATTGAAGTATTGTGCATTGAACATTTGAACTATTGAAGATTCTTTTGAGTCTTCAAGTATTACTTTCAGAGTTTTATAATTTGGTTGGTTGGCATATTTTAAGTTTTAATCGGATATGGATTATGGAGTATGAACTTACTTATGGATTATGGTTATGCTTATGGAATGTGTGTTAAATGCTAATATGTAGTATAATTTGAATATAATAGATAGTCTGATACTCAAATAACTGCAGAATCCTTATTTGGATTCAACTGGATCGTAGAATCTTTATTTGGATTCAACTGGGCTGCCCAGGTTCTGGGCGCCTGCCTAGGCACTGGGCGGCCTGGACCCCCCAATCCTCCTAGGACCCGCCTAGCGCTTTTTGAAACACTGGCTACAGCTAAAGTGGAACTATTTTTATGTGAATTTAATTTGGTTGCATTCTTTCGTAAATACCAAAAAACCATATCCAAGAAAGGCATGGCAGAGCATGCATCTAATTTTTAATGAATTTCCACCCCTTAAAATAGGTAAATAACGTACACACAAAACCTTTCGTCATATAGTTTCAGCATAATCTCTCCCACTACATCACAGCCATGAAAATAACATGTTGATTGTTCCTTGTGGAGATAGCTAAATGGTGGATAGTTCCAGCTTTGATGTAGGCACAAGTATACTTTCAAGACAGAAAGTGTTTATTTTCACATTTATTAATTTGGCCCAACCGAGCAAGTCAGTGAGCCTAAATTCACAGCCTAACTTGGAACCATACACCAGACCATCAACTTTACATGTAGAGCCTATCATATTTTGGACATGGTGTACCTACCATAATCTTCATCTTTCCTGAACTGTGTTTTATGTGGTCCAGCTTCCTTGTCATGCATGGAAGCATACAGCCTTTGATAAGCTCGATATAATCTGCAGAAACAAACACTAATTTACCTCATAATCGTATCAACTCCAGAGATAGCAGACAAATTTGAAACTCAGAAAATGAAAAGGAGTAGCATGCCTCTTCTGTTGTTTGCAACTGTTTATAGGTGATGAAAACTCTGAAGCCACATACTGATCAAGATATATACTTCGATATATGAAATGCCAAAGCCCAGCTGGACCACCAATTCCCGCATTTTCTTGCCTAGGAGACCCAGCTATAACATGGTCCTGCATCCCCAAATGAGGAGACCCAGATCCAGAGCGTAGGGTAGGGTGACTGGGGTCAACAGGCAGGTCCTCAACATGTAAACCACCATCTAGCATGGATCTCTGAACTTCACTGAGAACATTTGACTTTAAAAGGACCATCTCAATCTGAATCCTTCACAATTAAAAAATAACAGTGACTTGGAAGGCATGACTTCTACATCGAAAATTTATTGACATAATATTGGAAGTGACATATAAGTGGAAGAGAAACTCACTTGTAATGTTATTGATCCACCGTACCATAAGTAAAATTTTCATTGAAGAAACAAAACAAGCTGTAATTTACCTGCAATCCTTGAGATGGTAGAAGGCATCTGAATTAGTTGTGAGCAATATCAAGTACATCTCTACCTGACATGGGAGAAAAAACAGGAAAATTTACAGGCCAAAACATTCAAATGGAAGAACCTGACAAAATAAGGTGACTGGAACCATACCAACAGACAACCCACAAGCAGCCCTCAAATGAGTAACAATGGTTTGCAAACTACAAAAACTTCACTTAACACTCAAAAAAAAAAAAAAATTCACTTAAACACAATTACCTACACCAAAATAAAGGTCATTCACATGTCTTTACGTTTTAGCCTAGGACAGACGCTAAGGGTTTGACCCTGAAGTTTGTCCCAAGAAAACAAATTAGACTGGCCTACTTTACCTTCTCTTGTCTTTTCTTTTTTTTTGTTTTATTCTTTTCTTTTTTTTATGAAGCAATAATGAACATAAACATATAAGAATAGAATTGGATTGAACGAAATTCACATACACATAAATTTTACTTACATCGAGATAATGAACATAAGCATATAAGAATGCCATTGGGTTATATCTGGGTAGGCAAATTGGTGAAAATGACTCAGAGGTCCTGCAAAAGTACGTAGGATTTCAATATGTAAGAAGTATAGCAACGAGTACAATGCCTTAGAATCCAATAAATCATGCAAACATCAGCAAAATAAAAGTGACAGTGAGATAATACGAACAATCATTTGAGGGAAAAAAAAAAAAACTAGTAAACTCAGAAAACCTCATGCAAGTAAAACGAAAAACATCACATAGTTGTTGAGACCGGAACCGGGATCAAGGCAGTGGAATCGTGATAGGCTAAAAGCTCCCAATGGTCAATGTCATTGTTTGTAAACCCTGAATTTTAGGGATCTCGATCCCTACATGTGAAGAGCTGGATCCCAACTTTTTGGGATAGCAAGATAAATTCTAAAGGTCCCAGACCCATCTGGTAAAATCATCTCTTTTCTCTTTGAAAAATGTATAGAACATCATTTTGCGATATAATTACTTCATCTTTTATTAATTAATAGGCATGTAAGACTTGCTCCCTTATAAAAGATCAACTAACATGAGTGTGATATATATCAAGCAATCCCTGAAGGTTGGGATCGTATACCCCCTATATGAGAGCGAGATCTACCCAACATCCAGCTCCAGGTACATGGGATAGCTGAATCGCCACAAAGGTAGGAGAACATCATATGGTTCTAAAACTCGATGATAACTTCAATGGAACAGAAGAAACAACGACTGAATACAACATAACTAGATTTATCACAACATCTTTCAATTTTTTGTTTTAGTAAAATTGATGAAGTATTACATAATTACAATGATTCTGCAGAGGCTCATGCCGGCATACTCCCAATATCCCAAACCATTCTTATTTGTCCCTTTGTTTGGCAAAATGTATGCCCAAATTTTCCTCTCAGAGGAACACAAGCCAAAATCCAAATTTACACAACTAGCAACATTCATCCCACGTGTATTCTACTATATCTCCCATATTTCCCTCATGGTCGCATTCTGTGAGAGCATTGTTGCTCTTTTTTCAAGGTACATCTAGTGCATGTGCACCTTTTATATCCATGGACATAATGGTTGTTCTAATGTAACACATGTGGGACATTACTCCTAGAAGAAAAATATATACGCAAATTGCTCAAAAGTTATCTGTTTCACTGACTCAATTTTATAACATCAATGAGATCTTAATGTTCTTATCCTGGGCATGTAGGCCTTCTTAACACATGGAAATTTCATGGTCCCATTAGTCTATAATTGCCATGCTCAAGAATGAGGTATGCCCATGGGCATTGCATGTATATCATGCTGTGATATTTAGATGGAGAGGAAACGTCTTTAGGGCACAAAAATCCCAAATAAAAAACAGTCCAAGGACTAAAAAAGAATTATATATATTGGTCCAATGTCTTCGCTATTATGCAATAAGTTTATCAATTGAACTGCCTATTCTAATATACTTGTCATACATGTGCAACTATGTGAACGTGATTCAGAACAATGTGAAAGTAGAACAAATGTAGCGATATTTCCTTTTTCTTCAATGATACCTGAAAGATTCAGAAGACAAGACAAAATTGGAAAGTAAAAGCATATCATCTGGATGTAGGGATGCCTTTTGTGCACCAACAAGGCTGATAACCTGTAAGGAACAAATTTACACGTTCAATTGCACACCAAAGGGATATAAAGTAAGGCAAGAAAAGAAAAAATAATTTATTCCACCAAGAAATAGAAATATAACGAGATAGTGCTTAGCATAACGTAGATTTTGGAGCAGAACTAGTAGCTTGGGCAAGGGTTTAGCAAAGAAGAAGAAAGGGAATATCCCAAATTAGAGAAAGATTAAAAAACCAGAGATAAAATAATGAGCACTTGCTGCTCGAGGGTTTTGAATAGAAGTCCATACCATGATCCTTCATTATGCTTGATTATATCTCATACATAAGAAAACCCTAAACAAGACTTAATATTGGCCATCCATCTAATCTAATCATGGTCATTTATTATAAAGACTTTACGTAATAAAAAGGCATATAAGACTAAGAAATTACTACTTATACACCTAAGAAAATAAAACGACTCAAGAAATAAATAAAAGATATAAAAGGACATATTCGATGACTATTTTGCCCTTCTGCGATTCCTCTTGTAAACTTTAAGCTTGTCTCTCTTATCTAGATACTTGAGAGCAGTATTTCAGGCTGCATCAGATTTGCATATGAAGTACAAAATTGGGATATGATCAAGGACAAGATAATGTGAATAATTGAAAAATGGAAGCCAAAACAAGAAGGAACTAATGCGACTATTTATTATTTTGGAGGGAAAATAGAGAGGGAGGAAATCTATCTTCAAGTGGTTTGAGCTTATGGAGCACATGAATGTTGAAGCAAAACTGTATAATGATATCAACGTTATCCCAAAGTTTAACCTATTAGTTATCCATGCACACCATGTATCATGCAGAGCCATAGAATAATTCAATATTTAGGTTATCAACAGACATGAACAAAAAACATCATGAACATAGCCATCCAAAAACCTTTCCAACAAACATGAACAAGAAACATCATGAACATAGCCATCCAAAAACCTTTCCACCACGAGTGACAACGTTAAATATATTGACAATACAAAAAGTGAAAGAGGGAATTCATGCACTAACATGATTGGTTACACAGTGTTGAGTACTAGAATTTTAGAACACTATGTCCCAGATTCAGATCCCAACACTAACCAACCCAAAAAAGGGAAAACAAAGAGTACGAGACAAGCACTGATGAAACTACCTCCAGATAAATAAAGCTCCAATTACTTTCTGGAACATAACCTTGTTTAATATTGGACAATAAACATACATCGAGTTCCTTACCTACTCTTGTCAAGTGTTAGAACTTTGTAAGCAATATGCATTTGTTTTTATCAATGATTATATGCTATATCATGTGGAAGAGATGATTATTTATCATTTGTTCGTTCCTTCTCCCTTCATGCATAGATGAAGTCAGCTTTCAAACCACAGAAATGGAGACGATTCAAGCACAAATTCAGTCATTATTTCTCAAGTGAAGAAAACAATCATCTTCACCATCTAAGATAGGAACCAACACTGGAAATCAAAACTTCATATAAATTGTCTAGGGTTAAGTCCCACAGGATCATTAACCCATCCCAAAGCCAATATCTCTAGCAAGGCCAATATCGTAGCACTTCAAAGCACAGGCATACCTAGTTTAAGAAATTTTTATGAAGTGTTGTTTTTCAAGCCATTCTTCGTTCACCTTGTGATCAACTTAAAAAATTAAATAAAAAAAAAAATGAAAAACTGATTTAAGCCCTTAAAACCCTAGATCTCATCATCCAACAACTTGGCACTCCACAACCATCCTCGAAGTGGGAATTAGGACGGAGCATTATTTTTGCTCCAAATCAATTTCCTTTTTGGTCTATTGATCTTAGATATGAATAAAAAATGATTTGCCAGTTTTGGTGTCAAAAAAACCCTCTAACTAGGTGTTCTCGATCTTGGGCCTATATTGTAGCACTTCAACCAAGGGATAGAAAGTTTATCTCTACATTCGTCGTAGAGAAAAGCGGAGAGGGGAAGCTGATCACCCCACAAACACACAGTTACATTCATATATGTGCAGTCCAAACGCACATACAAGAATATGTATGCAGCTGAAACACACATATACACACATTTGCATTTGTATGTACAATCACTTCATTGGATTGAACTTTGCAATTGAATCAAATTTCACAATTTTAAATTGGTAAATGTAAGACATAGAAAACTGCTGACCCTAAAGGGTAAAAAATCATAGCAATAGCATTTTCCAAAATCCAAATTTTTTTTTTTTTGCCCTCCCCCCAATCTCTTTCCCCACCTTAACCCACGAACCGAGAGCAATTTCATGCTGCAAAACTACCATCTGTGTAGCTCCCTCTTTAGCAAGGGTGTCGGCTACTGTGTTGGCTTCCCTCCAAGTATGCATCCAAAAGAAATGAATAACCCTCCAAATTTGGAAATTTTCATCAAAGAAGTGGTCAAACCTCCAAGGGCAAGGTGAGGACCCTGAACCTCAAGTCGAGACATTTTTGGAATCCCCCTCGATAACCAAGATTGAGCTCCAAGAGGGGTTGAAGGGCACTCGAGGAGGGACAAAGCCTTAGCAATGTTGGAGTCGGCATGTCCGATGAAGCGCAAGTAGGAAAGATGGGTACGGCCCGTCCTTGTCTCTGAATAAGCCCCCCTATACCTGCCGGGCCAGGATTACCTAGAGAGCACCAATCAAAGTTGAGCTCAGTTAGACCAGGTTCCGCTGGTCTCCAACGACAAGCACGAGGGATGCAACTGGGCCATAAGTGCAGTAACGCCTGCCAGTCTTGGTGGAAGTCCGAGTAGGAGAGGTGCTTGAAGTATTTGTTGTTTTTGGCCCAAAAGATAATCAGGATTTTGACTCTATCTATGAGGGCAGTTTGCTGCTCCCCCTGAAAGATCCTCTTGTTTCCTCTCTGCCCAAACGACCCACAACATGGCAGCCACAAATGCCCTGCAACAATAGAATTTCCAACTTCGACCATGTTGGGAAGTGAAGGGAACATAGGAGATGGGATATCAATGTTGGAGTCACCCACGACCAATTGAAGAGTTGAAAGAGATCGCCCCAAAGGTTTCAAGCAACATCACAGTGGATGAAGACATGTGATGTTTGTTTTTACGTCGTCGTTGCACATGGTACATCGATTAGGAATTTAGCTATTGGGAGCTAAATTTATAGCAGGGCTAGGTATCTAGCTCAAGGGTTTAATGTCTCACTTACAGGTTATGTAACTCAAGAGGCCAAATATCTAACAGTTCAGTAAACTTGAAGTTAACATTTGGTGTTCAAATTCCTAAATCAGACATAAATGAATAAGTGGTCCTCCACTATGCCAAAATAACAAAACGAAAAAGAATATTCAAAGCTTGGAAACCTACTGTGTACTGCTGGTTCCTCAAACGAATGTTCAAACATGATCCACCATGAAGTACATTGCTAGCACGTTGTAGCAACAAATCCCCTGGCAGTGCATCCATCCGATAAATTGTGCCCATGCTCTTTAATTTGAAGATATTTCAGCATATACTCAACAATTGGTATCATTATAATGCATTAACCGATACTGATACCAGACACATCTACGATTCTTATAATATAAAATGCTATGACGTAAATGTAGGTATATAAAATAATACAACATATCCAGAATATGATAAGTCTAACTGCCTTTTTTTAATGAAGTGATAATACATAACCATATTAATATAAAATTTGCAAAATTCTCACGAGATGTGAGTGTTGGCATCCCACAGGTCAAGTGCTCACACAAAAAGATGATCACATAACGCAAGGGAGTGTAGATAGAAATCATAGTTTCAATAAAGAGAGAGGAGAGAGTGAAAGTTGAGGGACAGAGAGGATATAGATGAGCGCCAAAGCTGGGAGAGTTGAGAGAGCTTAAACTTAGAAGAAAGTAAACGGACGAGAAGAGAATGGGTGAAGAGGAAGTGGAGAGACAAAGTTTTTCATTGTTGTGTCTGTGTTGCAGTAGAGAGAAAAAAGAGAAAGGAAGAGAGAAGAGGAGGAGGAGAAGGAGGAGGAGAGAGAGAGAGAGAGAGAGAAGAGAAAAGAGAGAAGGTAGAAGGTAGAAGAGAAAAGAGATAAGGGAGAAGAGAAAGGAGCACAAGCGAGGGAGAAAAGTTAAAAGAGACAGAAAAGATGAGAAGAGAAAGAGGTGAAAGGAAGAGGGGAGAGGAGGGGAGAGAGTTTTTCATTGCTGGGTCTAGGTTGGAGTAGACTGTGCCCCCTGTTTTGTTAGCAGTTCAGCATTCCGGTTCCTTTCCCTCCAAGTATGTAGAAAGTCGACTTCAAGTGACCTGCAAAGAGAATGGGCATGGTCGAAAATGTCGGTGAGTCTCCAACAAGGTTCAGCAAATCTTGATGCCCATACGATGACATTCGGAGAGTCTAATTAAGCGGTTTCCCCAATTAAGATCATATCTTTTGAGCACCTCGAGTATAAGTGGCGGCCTCTGCCCAATTGGAATCTACGTACCCAATGTGGATGGAGAATGTGAGAATAGTATTACCATTGGAATCTCAGAAAATGCCTCCAGCTCCACAACGACACGGCCAAAGAGCACCCATCTATGTCAACTTTGATGGTGCCATGGGGTGGCAGGTCCATATATTCGAGCGAGGAAGCTTGAGGTTTCTAACCAAATATTTTCGAAGTCGGATGTTGTGAAGCCTCCGAGTGATCTGCAACTAGGAGCTCAGAAGATGGTGAGTGATCTCGCCTTTTCTGCTATTGTTGTTGCAGTACTTCTAGCTTCTCGGAAGACACGAGACATGAGAGTTTCGATCCTTCCAAATTGACCATAAAGTGGCTTGGATGGATGCTTTCCAAAGAAAAAATCCTGTTGAGGAAAAGGTGGGGAGAAGTAGACAGATAATAAAAGTTCAATGGTCGGGGGAGTGACCCACCAACAGTTGAAGTCCCACAAATGTTTGCTCTGAACCTGTTGAGCAACGTGGCAGTGGATGAAAAGGTGGGAGTGAGACTCCACTTTCTCGCACACATGACATCAAT